CAGGCGTAGACACATCAATGCCAATAGCAGCTGATGCACCATTAGTACATGCTCGTTGGCAATTTACGGCCACCTCCAACTGTATCTGCCGTCCCTCAGCTTCTGTCTTCACAGATCTGGCGCGGCGCAGGACATTTTCTGGGCTAGGCACAAGGAAGTCCCACAGAGCGGTCCAAACACCTGAAGGCAAACCAGTCAGAAACTGGAGCGGCTCAGAGTCTTCCTTTATGTTATCGTAAGTAAGCAGCTGTTTTTCGGCTTTCTTCACCCCAGTCCTCACGTCGCCCAACTGCTCCTCGGGGCCTCGAGACTCTGTACACGAGCTCTACTTGCTGCCAGCTCCTCGGATGCAGATGCTGCACTTCCATTACAGGACCAAACTGCACTGAGCCAGGTTCCTTTCCAACTCAAAGTGCTGTTGCCTCTCAGCAAAATACTGGTTTGTGAGCATGGGGAGCTCGTGATGCAGATGCTGCACTTCCGTTATAGGACTCGGAACTGCACTAGGCTCAGCAAATACTGTTTTGCGAGCCTGGGAAGCAGGGCGTCCAGACTCCACTCTCTTGCGAAAAGCAAACCTGGTAGGACAGCTGTTTGGCTTCCTTGACTCATCCTGCCCTAGTAGAGCTGGGTAAAACGATTTCGATTTCGGGATCGAAATGGTCGCTGCAACCCGAATACTAGTATTCAGAGCGACCCTAAAACATTATTATTACTACGTCCTTCCTCACGGGGAATAGCCTGGATCCGCTTGCTCCAGGCCGCTGTGGCTCCACACGAGGGAAAGAGTGAAATGACTTGTTTGCTTCGTCCTCCTGCTCTGACAGTGAGGAACGCAGCAATGATCCTGAGAAGGCATCCTGAAGTCGAAAAAAAGGAAGACGTCTGAACAAAAACAAACAGCTCAAATCAAAAGTCCTTGTGACATTTTTTGTAGACAGGCTTGCACTGCATGTAGATTTCGCGTGCTCTGCACTTCGCATGCGAAAAGTCACGCACAGCCGCGGTGAGGTTGGTCGCGTGTGTGCAGCAGGATCCCACGCGACTGCGGAGTTGCCCCCTTGCTCGAACCCAGACAATAATAAGGGGATCGGTCTATTGTCAGGTAAAACATGCGGCGGCCGGTCATGGAGATTTCGCGGCGACCGTGGCGGAATGAGGCAGCCTTGCACTGTGCCTTTGCGCACACACGCTCCACCTGCTGCTCGAAGCTGAGTGACGAGTCCAATAGGAGCAGCAGTAGCTGAGACTTTTTGGGATTCAGCACAAGTCCCCGTTCGCTGAGGAAGTCCTCCAGATTCAAGAGATCTGTCTGCAGCATTCTGAGCACGGTTGATGCCTTGCGACCAATGACGTAGAACGCGATGTCGTGCGCAAACAGGAGAGCACGGCAATGTTGAAATTTCTGAGGGGTACGGCGGATTTAATGCAGAAAAGTAAGAGACCTAACACGGAGCCTTGTGGTACACCACGTGAGCAGGGCTCTGTACTGCCTCGGGCATCGCCTACAACGGCCGACTGGGTTCTCCCAGCAAGCCAAAGAGTAAGGTAGTCTGCGAACCAACGCAATGCCACACCTCCCACGCCAACTGAAGTTGTTGTCGTCGTTGTTGTTGTTGTTGCAGGGGCGTCGGAAGGTAATTTAGTGTGGTACGGTCACCCATCTGAAGTACAATTCACTCGTGTGTGAGGGATGGCTGAGCCGAATTTTTTGGGAATTTATAGTCCAAACCAGTGCATTTTATCGATTCACAGGGTACTTGGGGCAAATAGTGGTACGGTCAATACCGTACCGTGTCCGACGCCCCTGTGTTGTTGTTGTTGTTGTTGTTGTTGTTGTTGTTGTTGTTGTTGTTGTTGTTGTTGTTGTTGTTGTTGTTGTTGTTGTTGTTGTTGTTGTTGTTGTTGTTGTTGTTGTTGTTGTTGTTGTTGTTGTTGTTGTTGTTGCTGTTGTTGTGCTTTTAGCAAGAGTATAACCCCCAATATACTCTTGCTTTCATTAATAGTCGTTCAGCCAGACAGCAGTGGTGCCTTCTCACAAGGACATGACTTGTATTGTATAATATTATTATTATTTGAATTCGCAAGTACACACGGGCTGTAAGCCCAATTACATGGAAGCGACTTTTAGAAGAGGAGAAGGCAGAAAGAGAATGGGAAGGGGAGAAAACACAGTCACGGAAGGGAGAACGATGTACGCATCATGACAACCTCCGTGCCTATCACTTCCCTGCGGCCTGACATGCCAGACCACAAGCCAAGGCAGCCCAGTCGAGACTATAGTTCGTTCTGTATGCAGGAATTCCACAAGTATTAGTTGCTGAAATCGGTATCCCTACACTCTTTTTCATCCACAAACCCCCACCAAATGGCCGCTGAGTGGGTGAAGAAGTTCAACTGTGCACTGGATGAACTCGCGCCAGTTGTCTCACGAAGAGCGTGAAGGCCTACTTCTAAAGTAAGATGCCCTTTCATGACTGAGGAACTCATTATCTGGTCCAGTACTATTCTTTCTAATACCTTGGCGCATGTAGGCAGCAGCGAAACCGGGCGGTAGTTTGCCGCCAGATCTGGGTCTCCAGATTTCATAATTGAACTTATGATAGCTTGCTTAACCCTTTAGAGCCTAAATTATTTCAGGAGACGCATGAAATTCACAAACTCACATTTTCATCTGACTGTAATTTCGATATCCTTTGGAGTATTCCAACAATCTCGGGCTCTATGGAAAGCTCTCTCCAAGACGAACACAGCCATACCCAGTTCGCAATTGATAGAGTCGTAGGAGTAACGCCGCAGCGCGATCTGAGCGCTCCAATGCCAGACCTGCGAGCGCGGTACTAAATTCTCAGCCATTTCAACAATATCGATCGCAGAACGGTCAATTTTTTTGCAGGAGAGAGCTTCAAAATGCAGCTTGAAAATGACGTATGCCAGTCGTGCACGCGTCGCCAGCGAGTCAGGGAAAATCCCTTGCTGGCGTTTCAAATTTTACGCCGCGCGAGCCGACTCGCCCACGCGAATTTTGTTCGAGTGTCGTAACTCTGCGCCATGACCTCGGATCGTCTTCGGGTTTTTTGGAGCCGACAGCTGAGGCTTTTCTGATACGATTAGACCTTTCGTTTGTTGAATTCGAACAAGGATTGACTGAATGACGAAAGTTTGAAGTCACCTCAGCATGCACTGTACAGTCTGGCGGATATATCCGTCCTATAGGCGTTATAGGGTTAAAGATGGTGGGGACATTACCAGTTTGGAGGGATTCGTTCACCATGGCTGTGAGGTACTCCGCAATAGCATCTCCACCATTCTTCAGTATGGATGGTAGCACATTGTCTGGACCTGGTGATTTGCACGAATTAAGAGACTTCAGAATATCAGACACGTGTACTGTCACTGGTTGGAAATTCGTGAGGTGAGGTAGCTGCTCATTGTCTTCAGGTGGAATTTGTAGAACCCCAGGCCTGTTGGTGTCTTGAACAATTGGAAAATTGGTGCAGTGGGCTGGTTCCGGGTGGGTCTACGGCCTGCCATGCAGACGCCACTGCCCTCTTGGGTCATTCCTTAGATCCTGGACTTTCTCAAACGGTATCTTCAGTTGTCTGTTCAAGCGCTTTCCTTGACGCCTGGCTGCACGATACCTTTGTTTAAGAGCTGAGTCGTCTGGCCTACGCTGTAGCTGTCGGTCGAGAGAGAGAGAGAGAGAGAGAGAGAGAGAGAGAGAGAGAGAGAGAGAGAGAGAGAGAGAGAGAGAGAGAGAGAGAGAGAGAGAGAGAGAGAGAGAGAGAGAGAGAGAGAGAGAGAGAGAGAGAGAGAGAGAGAGAGAGAGAGAGAGAGAGAGAGAGAGAGAGAGAGAGAGAGAGAGAGAGAGAGAGAGAGAGAGAGAGAGAGAGAGAGAAGTCGCACTCCCATTTCCAGGTCTATGTCATTATCGTTTCGGTATATTCACTTCAGTAGTAATCATGCTCGATTGTAAGTCGCACCCCCTTTGTTGGCCCTGGAGTTGAGTGTAAAAAAGTGCGACTTTAATTCTATATTCGGTGAAATACCGTACTATATTATACTCAAATCTGTACTGTATTATACTGCATCTTTGGTCTCGTCATCGTCCAGTAGCAATCGACATTCTTTGTTCCCGTGAGACTGTAGTTGCGCTCAGCAGTGACGAGCACTCTTCAGGAGTATTTTGCCAAACTCTATCCATTACATGTATCAAGACTATCCTATCAGGTTCGGCCACATTTCCTCTGTGCTGCGCCGCTGAGGAGTCCACAAAGGACGGAACAGTTCTGTCCGCAGATTGCGTGTATCAAGAATACAATCATAATCTTGGTATTATTGACAGCTGTCACAAACTTACACAATTTCTATTTTTTCTGTCGTGAAATGCTTGCTGAGCACTGGCTCCAAATCTGAAAGAGGGGGGGGGGGGAGGGGGAGGGGGCACAGTACATTGCGGTGAGCAATGGCCTGTGAGCACGCAAGATCGAACTGGGGAAAAACCAGCGAAGAATTAAACTACTGCAGTGCAAGAGTGCCGGCACTATAGTCAAGCTGTACATGAGACGCAATGAAGAAGAGATAAACGCAGGAAAACAGGCCGGCGTTGTCAAGACTCGAGATGATCCGTGGCAAAGTAGAAATCAGAGTGCGTCTGCTTCCCAGCACCCATGCCCAGTGGTCTAAAAAGGCACATCCCATCGTGACGGGGAAGGTGAATGATATTGTGCGCAATTCTTGAATGATTTGAAAATGCTCTGTATAATTATAATAATTATTATGGACAAAGCTTGGTCAATATGGAGCCCAGGTTCAACCGTTTGGCGTCCTGTCCCCCAGAATATCGGAAATCCAGGTAACATCGAGGTAGGTCAATGGCTGATAGTGTGTGCGGCGAGAATAGAAAAGGCAGGATAACAACAGACCCGGACACGTCTATGTGTGTCGTGGTCATCGTGTCCCACGGCTGCCGATTCACCTGGTCCTGGACCGGTGACGAGCTAAACTGACAAGGTGACCGCCGCACACACCACCGCTACCAGCATAGAGCAGTGGCGGACGCTCACAGCTGCCTCGGACTCCTGCTGAAATCCGGGCGAGTCAGAGGGCGACACAGATGAGTTGCCCCGCGACCCGGGTGAGCTGCGTGAACCGGCCGAGTTGAGTGAGCCTTCTCCTGTTTTAGTGCCCGGACCGCTGGCTTGTGTGACATTGCAGGCCGTGGCCTTGTAGGGTCTTTCACCGGCCACATTTCCAGCCGGACCGTAGTTGCAAACAACAATGTAAGCGGTCCGAGCGGTCCAGGTGGCTGGCAAGCCGCCCGCTTTGGTTGCATCGCACAATTTAGCTCCGCAGCCGACAGCCGTGGAGGCGTTCCACACAATCTGGGTGTATTGGAGGCACTCGTGGTGGTGGTGCTGGGCACATATGTTGTTCTCGGCGTCATAGCTGGCTCTTCCTCTATCAATGGCTTGAACAGCTTCAGCAATACGCCGTCCGTTGAGTGCATTAGTCCTGGTATGTACGTTCTCGCCCACTGTCGCGAAGGACCCGAGTGCAGCTGCCGCCCTGGCCCTGTCGTGGTTGTTCCCGTACGTACACGTGTCGGCAAACGTCTGCGCAACGCGTTCCAGCGCAGCGCTCCAGGTCATCGGAATCAGCGGCCAGCACGGTTTGGGTGAGGGCGTGCTCCTGGCGCGATTGTGGGCGAGTAACAGGGAGTTCTTCTGGAGCTGAGTCAGCGTAGACGCTACAGCTCCTATGTCACACAAGAGGACCAGGGCAGGAAGGATGGTGATGCGGACCAGCATTTTCCTGTTCAGATTGCTAAAACACGTCTGGATACGGCGGCAAAGGCGATGACCAGGCGGCAATGGCTTGACACGCCTCAGGAAAGGCTGCTACTTGTGAAAAACGAGGTGTTTGAGCTGGAGAGCTCGTTGCAGTTGGGTTTTGCCGATTGCAAGACGTTACCTGTGGCTACGGCTCTGCTTGTTACGATCTATTTAACTGAAAGAACAGCCCTCTAAGCAAACATTCTAGGAAGCACCAGGCGCAGAGCGGTTCTGACGTACCAGAACTTTGACTTGCAGGAGGCGACTGGTGAGCAAGAAGCCAAGATACCTACTGGAGTGACAACGACAATAAAGTGAAAAGAAAGCCGAAGGCTTGCACCTGGACTGGCTTGAGCAGAGGCCATGATTATGGACTCTTGCTTGTTATGCACATAGACATAGGTGTCCTTAGAAGTGGACGAGATTGTGCCTTCAGGCGACCCGCGCGGACGCGGCACACCCATCAGACATTGCAAGATGATGCTGTCGTTGTCGGCCGCACCCGAGGCGATGGACATCGCGCAGGCTGGTCGTTATTCGGCTCGCTGCCTCGTGGAGCCTGCTAAATTTGGCACCAGCACTCAACGGTCGTCTTCCACCCTACTGTATTGCTGCGAATACGGTGCACGCGGGGGCGCTAGCAGACACCCTCGAGTGGCAGTATTCTAGATGCTACGACTCCCTGCAGCATGCTAACAGTTAGCAGACAACAAGCCACCGTCAAGATCAAGAGGTCAACGGTAGAAAACCGAAGGCGAAGCAGAGCCTGAGGTCTACTCTTGATGGCATGACGTGTATCGGGTGACTGATTCGTGTCCATAAAGGGCGCGTAGTGGTATACTCATTTACAAAGGGGTTATAGCAAAAGCAGCGGTTATAATTTACACAGGGGGAAGTGGTCCCGTCCACCGGTGCACCGCAAAGGGATGCCTGATAGGGTCCAGCGGATTATATTCTGCATTATGAGACTATCCGAGCATCAGAGCATTATGGAGCATTAGATTATTATTATTATTATTATTCTTTATTTCCACGATGGCCCATGGCCAATAAGGAAGATAATATGATTCAAATCAGTCCAGAATCATATAAAATCAGTCTAGCAAGTAAGGAAACCAACACATTGCAGAGGGATGGGGTTACGATGGGGTACAGTGTGAGCTACTACAGGAGCATACGGATGATAGAATGAGGCTAGACGCCATTGATTTAATCGCATGCTTGCTATTTGTTTCACGCAGGTCGGGGGGTAGTTGGTTGAAATTGTGTAGATTGGAACACGACGAGCATTATGTGAGGTTTGAGTGGCATTAAAGGAGTTTTATGGTGGATGCTGTAGGGAAATCTCAGGTTTTAGGCAGCAATCGGCTAAAGCCATGAAGTACAACGCCATGTATTGTACCGGCACATGACTTTGTGATTGTGTAGACACGCCTTTAGCGCTACATTTACCTAGCAATGTCAGGTAAAAAATTTAAATGTACATGTGATGTAGCATGCCCAACGTTGCAACTGAGGCTGTTTATACTTCGAAGTACACAAAATCCGTAACCATGATTTACGATGAGTCTTTTCTTAGAAATCATGGAGATCCATGGAGGAGACTAGACATACGTGACAGAGGAAGAGGAGTTACCTGTTAATAAAACGTGTTATGCCATTGGCTCTGGCCATAGCACCTCTAGCGATACAGTCATACTGAAGTAAACACTGATCCATTGGTAATAATTTGGACCTGTATGAAGGAGCGGCTATAAACAGACAGAGCTTGTTCCAGACAACTGCCTTTGCCGAGTCCAGCTCAGCAGGCTCGAAAAGAACTAGAATTTCTCATGGACGCAGTACCGTAAGTCGATTTCAGTGCTCAGCAGCGCATGTTGGGAACAGTAATCCCCATATTTAAAAATAAAGGTAACCCATGTGATCCCTCCAACTATCGCCCTATCCCTACTCCCAGCTATAGCGAAAGCACTAGACAAGATTGTCGCCGCCAAATTCGGTCACTATCTCGAGATCAACAGCATCATTGTCCCGGAACAGTTCGGCTTTGTCCGTGATCGCTCCACAGTTGACCAGCTGATACAGCTCACTACTAAGATCGCCTCAATCATGGATAAACGCATCCTTTACGATGCTGCATTTCTCGATTTTGCGAAGGCCTTCGATAAAGTGCCGCATGACGTGCTTCTCCAGCAACTCGGGCCTATCTGCGATGCTCCGGCTACGAGTTGGTTTAGGAACTACCTCGATACGCGTACATTCAGCGTCCGCGTCCACCACCATCTGTCCTCCCCACGTCCCGTCAAGTCTGGAGTACCCCAGGGTTCCCACCTCGGGCCATTGCTTTTCCTGGTACATATCAACAGCCTACCCAGTGCCTCGAAACGCAACCAGCACGCTGATGTTTACCTGTTCGCGGATGATACCGCCGTCGGCCAAGCACGAACCAAAGGTACCAGCCCAATGGAGACTGCCCTGCAGGACACATTTGCCTGGGCCGACCGAGTAGGCGGAACCTTCAACCCATCGAAAACCGTTGTTATCTCATTCGCTGAGGAAGGAGCTGCAGAGACCATCCGCGGTATCCAGCCGTCAACCAGTCACCGTCACCTGGGAGTGTTGTTGAGTGAAACACTTAGCTTCCAGGAGCATATTGAACAGACAATAATAAGGAAGTTTAGACAGCGCTGCGTTCTTCTGTGCCATATGGCTGACCGTTGAACAGGAGACATCGTCAGGAAGCTGTACCTTACGTATGTCCGCCCCACAGCAGAATACGACGCCCCGGTATGGGAGTCCTCCCTCTCTGCTGCACAGCGGCTCACCCTTGAACGGCTGCAAGCCAGAGTAGCTCGCACAGTCATGCGGCTTGAGAGATGCCCTTGCCCATCAGACGAGCCCAAGTCATCATTGTTTAAACAGCTGGGGTGGCCAAGTCTATCCTGGCGCAGGAAGATCGCCTGCCTTATGGAATTCTTCCATTTGGTCACCACCCAACCAGAACTTTTTGAAGCAGCGGGATACTGCGCCACGCGTAGTCGCCGCCGCCAACTCGCATTCACTCTGCCACGGGTTGGGAAACACGCCGGGAGGTCATTTCTCTTCCGCACCGCTACTGTCTGGAATACCTTGCCCGCAAACCTGAGAGCCACAGCCTCGCAGTCCCTGTTTCACAGTCACATTTGCACGCACTTCTCTGACACCAAACACAATGCCACTCCTCACTGACATGCCTCTGTCCTCCTTCTTTGAGCGTTGCGCTTATTCTTATTAATTTTTGTGTTTCTGTTTCGGTATATTTCGTATTTCAAGGCATACCCCGAGGCTATAGGTATTATTGAGTAAAGGACCATTCTGGAACATTCAACATAATTGTATTTCTCTTGCTTGGCTGTTCATTACGAATCATTAGCCCTCCACTGTCTGCTATCTCAACCCTACAGCCTCCCATTATAATGGAACTCCCTTCAATTTAGACTACGTCTTTGGGAAATCCTCAAATATATATATATAATGTCTTACTTTCCTGGTGAAGCACGTACAGTTTGTCGTGGACGATTGTAATGTAGAGCCTACAGTCAAGTGCTATCAGAAAAGAAGAGTATTATGACCAACCATTTGTCTTCACGCAACCTCAGGAGAAGAAAACAGCGCAAGCAGAGGATGTAGAGCGGCAAAATAACTTCTGACCGCGTGTGTTCAGGATGTCCGCAAATGGGAGGGATCTCGATCTGAGATCGTCTATCAGGAACTGGCCTCACGTGAGCTGTTTCAGATGAAGACATTTTTCACAGCATGGAAGCAGTGGCAGCTTGTCTGCAGGCAGGAATATCACTTCCCATGATAAGCTTCCAGCATTATTTTATTTTATATATTTTTATCACATTGCGCATACCTACGGAAGAAGGGCAAACAAAACGTAGACAAAACAAAAAACAACAATGGGTGTGTAGGCGCTACATCAGCTGCGCGGGTGAGATTTTTTTATTTTTTATTTTTATTGAAAAACCACAAACCTTCAGACATGTGAATGTGCACATGATATACAGTGTACATACGTATGTATCGAGAAGGCAGCACGGAAACGGCAGTGGTGGTGAGATGCGGTGGACTCCCCCGACCAATGGTCTAGGGATCGGTGTACACAGCAAGCACCAGGGGGGGGGGGCGACAGGAATGGCGGAGAGAGAGAGAGAGAAAGAGAGAGAGAGAGAGAGAGAGAGAGAGAGAGAGAGAGAGAGAGAGAGAGAGAGAGAGAGAGAGATAGAGAGAGAGAGAGAGAGAGAGAGAGAGAGAGAGATAGAGAGAGAGAGAAAGGGAGAGAGATGGCAACATCCAAATGATCACCAGCAACAATAGATAAAAAAATTATAGATTCACATCTCACTACATGGATAAGCAAGGGAAAGGATTTGATACACCCACTATTCAGCCACAGCCCTTCATCAAAGTTGCAATGGAGAGCAGCCGATGGAGACGCGATCATGTCTTATAGTGCTAAGAAGTTGTGGAGCACGTGAGAGATATTGTAGCAGCTTCAGAGGCAGATCGACTATATGAATCCTTTCCTGGACGTTTGACAGTGTGCAGCCTTTCTTCCATTTTTGTTCCAAACCAAGAGCATTATAGCCCTTGTGGAAGTATTGTAACCAGCATTATGAGGTAGTTAAAACTTTTGGAGCATTATGATTGATTAGCATTACACGAACATTTTCGGAGCATTATCCGCTGGAACTCATTGCCTGATGATTGATAACCTCAAGAAACTCGGAGTAGCAACAGAATCTGATTGTGTTTTCTTGGTGAGGAGTTTGAGGACCGCTTCCGTTGTGGGGTTGTTATTTATCTACTCTTGGAGTCTTGGTCACAGTAATACTAGTACTACTAATAGCTATGACAGTCAATTTGTTTCCTTCAGACTATGCCCGTTTGTGTCTTTCCCTCAGACCAGTGACTACCACATGTATAATAATTAT